GAATCACAATTAATATATTACCAGAGAACCCTTTTGTAGTCATGTACTTTTGTACTTCTTACCCACAGAATTATTACCATAGATGAATGTACATATTTTTTTGTTGTCTGAATGACAGACTTCTACACCAAACAGCCTCCTCTAAAAGGGTCATGAAAGATTTTTATAGCTTGGTTGTGGTAGCATACATTGACAATTATATTATAGATGCCTGGGGTATCCTCCCTCCTCCCCACCTGGATCTAAGTTGGGATAGAATTTCACCTGGGATATCTGCTATTTCTACATTTTATTTCAGCAAAAGGTTTCTAAGAAAAAAGGATTGAAATTGCTTTCACATGAAGGAAAAACCCCATTGGTTTGGGGGGCTTTTTTTATCTTCAGGTTTCCAAACCTGAAGTACAAATGTCTTGATGCATGTATCAATTTCACTCTGAAAGTGCAAATGAGTTCACAGCATCAGAGTCATTAGTCAGTTTTTCCTTGTCTTTCTCTCTTCCCTGTTAAGTCACACCTTTTTTTTTTTTTTTTTTTTTTTTTTTTTTTTTTTTGGGCTCCGTTTGTTGCAGGAAGCAGTTGTTCAGGGCAATGTGAAGCAGAGAGGTGTCACTGCTCTAGAAAAGAGGGACATAATCCTATTGGATCTGGGTCAAAGAGGTAGACAAAAAAAGCTGTTAAGCCATGTAAACCTGCTTTTCATCCAGTAGATAGCTTATGGCATGTCACCAACTTTAGGCTTAGGAGTAACTTTTATTTCTGTAAATGCTGGGGTGGAAGTGAATCATGAAAGTAATACCTGCATGGCAACCTGACAATCATGAAAAAAGCCACGAAGACAATCTGTATTTATTATTTATGGACCCACTTAAAAGAAAGAGAACATCAGTAAAGTACTGCTCTTTTTTTTTTGTTTCCACGTAATAAAACATCACACCTCAGGAGAAGAATGCTGTTCAGATATGTTATTCTTTGGATATTATGAAACTGAGGAACGTTGGTTCTGTGTCTTACTGTATCTTTTATCTGGAATACAAATGCTAAAGGGGTTATCAACCAGTATTTCCTACAAACTTAAAATACAGTTTCTATCTTAAGCCTAAAATGTCCCCAAAGAGACTGCCTGGCCCTTGTTTATAGTGGTTAATTTTTGCTACAGTTTTTGCTATATTACCACAATGAACTCAACTCTAGTAGATAAATAACCCTGCTATGACAAAACAGTCAACTGCCACCATTAAAACTTGGCATGTCTCAACCATGACCTCAAAAGGTGTCTAGGGAAGTGCTGTATGCAGGGAATTAATAGGTGATTTCTAAATACAAAAAAAGACTGAAGCAGTTTTTAAACAAAGATGAATTAGGATACAGCAAAAGCATAAAGAAACAAAGGTTTTGTGGAAGATCCTTCCTCCTCCCTCCATTTTACAGACAAATAGAGTGAAAAACAGAAAAGTTAAGGGACTTGCCCAAGTCAGCGGCAACTGAAACCAGGACCAGAAGCTGTAAATCTGGTTATAATATTACAATTGCCCAACAACACTCCTTCCTACAATGTGTATATTGTGATTGCTTAATGCCCTCCTACTCAACTTCAAACACATATTTATAGAAGCAAATAAGAAAAACTAAAAAAATCTGTGGATCAGTCTCTTAGATAATATATACAAAGCAACTCTCCCTCCCACAGGCCCTTTCTGCTTTCGCAGATTGTTTTTAAGTCACACCTACAACATGCTTGCTGTGTTTTAGGCATTACTCATTACTGTGTATTTCCAGAAAGCATCTCACTAATTTATCTGAATTTGGTTTCAAGTCATTTGTTGTTTGTGTGTAGGCAATCTCCTAAATTAGTTGCTTTTCAGTTCAATTTCTCATTATAACATATAAGTGACCTATTTATTTAGCTGCAGACCAATTCCATGGTAGTGTGCCTACTAAGTTATGAAGCATCTTGATGTGAACTGAACTTCTTGTGACCTCAAAAATAATTTTTTACTTCAGTAAACCATCCCTAAAATAAGATGCTTAGCAATGAAAGTTTTTATTGTTTATCTCAGCAAAATCATGCTACAGGTCAGCAGTAATTATACATTTAAATAACCCTACTTAAGGCAGAAAGTCATGCTACATATCTTGATGCCCAATTCTTATTTAGTTTTGTGTCTCAATACATGGCACAAATCGGCAAAGCTTTCATTTATACGTTTGGTTTTTTTTTTTTTCTTGTTTTGCACCTTCAAAAATATTGCTGTCTAGTAGTACCATTACCACTGAAAGTTACTTCAGACATAACAGTTTGAGAAGTACAAATAAAAATTTTGGAAAAGGAAAAAAAAACAACTTTGTGTTTTGTGATGGGATCTGTTAAGAGTGCTGTAAATAAGTAAACATCCAAACAAAAAATTTTGTATTTATCTTCCTATATTTTCATATTTTAATAAAACTATAGACACAGGTATGCACACATAAAGACAAAGCCCACAGTAATTCAGTTTTTGGAGAATACAGAAACCAGTTGCATTACACTGGCCAAAAAAAAAAATAAATCCAGCAAAGAAAGTGCCTACAAGACACACAAGTATACCCACCAACGATGTCAAACCTTCATTGTCAACAACCCAGTCTTCTTTTTCAGCTAACCTCTTTATATCTGTAAGACAGAGCAAGAGGGGGAAGGGGAGGAGGGAGAAGGTATTCATTTTCATTTTTAAAAACTCCTTGAACTTGAAAAGATAAACCACAGACATTGGGACTGCAATGACTAGGCATACAAGCAAATAGCACTAAAAGCTTCAAAGCTTTCAGCATTCTCAAATGACTAAGAATGGAACTCATACATGGTGTGCTGGCGACACTACACAGAGAAGCATATCTATGATACATGGCCAGAGTTGCATGAAGCACATCTTTTGCTGGAAAGCTTAAAATTAAAGGAATATTGTGAAGACTTTGGGTTTGTTTTTATTTTGTAAATTTTTAATCATAAAAAACTGCATTTAAGAACCCAAGTCTCTAGTCTATTATACTCCAGCTCTTAATTAAAAATGAAAGAACAACTGCCTAGCATTTTAGCAAAGACAGAAAGGATGGCATATAATTCATATTTAATAACTACACAAGAGGCTCAGAGTCCCCACTCAGTGTCAAGGATACCTGGTGCTGGACATTCTTCAAAAATATGTGAAAGCATATGCAAAAAGCACTCTCTTCTGCTACCCAGAAGGTGCCAACTTCTATAGGCTTACCGAAGCTAACAGGAGCCAAGTCAGGATGTGAATCCAAAGCTCATACACTGTAAACAAAATTCCTCTATGGATGCATGCATTCTGCATCATTGCTTTTTTGGGGGGGGCTTAACTGACTTGCGAAGAGAACAAAGATGAACTGTGTGCAGTTTGTGGGGGCTTTGACATACTATTTTTCACACAAAAATTGCTCATCAGAACTGCCTGTACATCATGAAACTCCTTTTTAAATGAGCAAAAATTTCAGTGAATTACCATCTCTCCCCAAAATCCAAGAAAAGAGGATAACTAATGCATGCTGAAAGATATCTTCACTATCTTCGTGCTTTAATTAACTAAATAAAGAAGCTTGGTTATGGTGTTATACCCTGCAATTCTACATCTCATGGAAGTATAGGCTTAATGAGGATAAAAAGTATTAAGGGATTGTGCAGAATAATTACTCTGTTCATTTCCCTATTTAGTAAACCTCTTAATTCAACCAATATTCTTGCAAGGCTTTAGTTTGCACTGGTCAGCTTTTACATGTTTTTGTGGCTGCTCACTTTTGCATTCTGTTCTGAGCTAATACAAATACAAAAGAAATAAATTTCTTTCTCGTATTTCACTGCTCATCAAATTCCAGTCAAATACATTCATGTAAACCCCCTGCCTAGTCTGGCATTCACATAATTTGGCTTTCATGACCTTTATGACCAGTGATCACATATGACAGGGGAAGAACACAGACTGCTTCTCAGGACCAGCATGAGTATATGGTGTTTATCATAAGACAACAAGAAAACCCTGTGCGTGGGCAGATTTGTCCTATTTAAATAGCTAATGGTAGAGTGCTCTATTAAAAATTTTAACCGATCTGAATGCCTTTACCAACTTACAACATGCAGCAAGGGATAAGACTGAACTTTATATCGGCAGACTATGCAGCTCATATTTCAGAGAGATTCTAGCAGTGAGATTCAAGTCCAGGAGGAGCCTTTTTGACTTATATGTTACAGATATAACTACATCCAAGATCCATTTACATAGCTCCATGAGAATTAACTGTTCTTTCACTGGTTCCCTAAAAATAACAGTTTCTCCAAGGGCCCAGTAACCAGGTCCTGTCCAGAAAAAAATATCTAAACACATTAGACGTACAATTTTGCTTTAGCTGGTAAAGAACAAAAAAAAAGGGTCCCATAATAAGGCATGCAGTGCAACAATATGGAATGAGAGTCATCATACAGGCAGGCATCTTCTCTCTTCTGTTTGATGCTACAGCCAATACACAGAATGCTTCACTGATAGGGGATGGAAGCAGCAGTTGAGGAAGGCTGCCACTATTGGCTAGATGAGAGAGATACACATTATCCAGCCAATGTAATATACCAGCATCTTAAGGGATCCGATCTCTTTTGATTCAAGAAAGAAAAGTATGAATAAAGATGTTTAGACCAAATAGAGAATCATTCAAACATAGACTGGTAAATCTGCTTTTATAAAAATCTAAGGTACAGACTACTGCAAGAGCTTTTCCTCCACAGAATGTATTTGGCCAGCAATCAGGCTGCAAGAAGCAGAAACTCTGGATCTGAACAAAGCACTGGACTATTCTTACAAGAAGTAGGCAAAACTTGTTAAGACAGCAGTCTTTTTGGCTGAGAGCTTCATCACTAATCATGTACCAGAGCTCTCTGGACTGTATTGGAGAAGCTACGTGGATAGCTCACAGAGATTTGATAAGCTAAGGATTGTCAGCAAAACGGTTCAGAGCTAGATACTGCCTTCCTTTGAAACAGTCAGGAAGTCTGAGCAATCACTCTCAATTCCTAGACAGAGGGCAGTCAGTCCAACAGGACATCCTCATGTCACAATTTAAAAAAAAAAAAAAAATCTTTATCACCTGCCATTTAAAAAAAAAAATATCTCAATTGTGGTAAGTGAAGAAAAGCAAAAGAAACTTCCTCATACTTTAAGTGAAATCTGAAATAGTGGTAATACTTTCCCTAAGGAGTTTCAAAGAGACAAGACAACCGCTGTACTTGTATGGCCAACTAGCTTGATATTAAGGCAGAAAAATAATGTTAACATTGATATGGGACTTAATAAAAGAATTAAGAGCCAAGAATACAACTCAAGTCAGCATTGTATCAAATAAACCATAGAGACTTTATGATTTGTTGTCACCAAAAGTTCAAAAATTTGCTTAATATAGCCACCTGTACTTAGCACACTTAAGCCTTGGGTAAAACACCTAGCTTCATGTCAGCCTATAAAATAATGATGAATCATATGCTAAAGATTAAAAACTGATTAAGTTGTAAAATTAAAAAAGCCCTAATTTTTTTAACATTGAGGGTAATTAGTCTTCTGGATTAAAACCCTGCTAAGTGAATAAGTAGATCAATCTGCCCTGAGATTTTAAGAGACACGTTTATTTCTGGAAGATTTACTTAATTCACATTCATGTTTCAGACTTGAATTCAAGATAGTGAGATGAATGGCCTCTGATGCACACAGAATCACATTAGATTTAGAGAATGTGTTGCTGGCCTTGACAATCCAGACGTTTATGGCAAAAGCTATGTAAACAACAGGAAGCCTGGAGATTATAATATTAGTAAAAGGCCTTGGAATACACACAAGTAAAATACTTCATAAAGGGCTGTTGATCTTTTTTTTCTTGGGGGTAGGGCATTGCTTATTTAATTCTTCACTTTATAGAAGAACTCAAAAAAATAAACGATATTTGCAATATGGAAAAGCTGCATCATGAGATAAATTACTTGCATTGTAAAACTGTCTCAACCCAAAGGAAACAGATCTAAAATACTGTATTCATTAGACTAAGGGAAGAAAAGACTCATAACACACATTTCTGTCAGAAAAGTAAAATACTTGAGTAAGTCTTGTGAGATATTACAGAACTCAGAGGAGTCTACTGCCACTACAACATCTGTAACAAACATGGTTATCTTCCAGAACATGGTTTGGCATAATCAGAGGCAAAAATATATGACAGTAAGCAGAGACACCTGCAGCCTTTTATTACCTTCAGCTGTATGTTGTAAGGTCACTATAATGCAACGTACACGAAGGTCCAAAATAAGATCCTGGATGATCTGAAGCATATCATTGGGTATCTCGAGTGCAGTAAGAGACTCAGAACTAAGCCTGGAAAGCAAATAAAACTAGACTGAAGTGTGAATCTGCAGGTTTTTTTAAGCTGATATAACTTCATTATATTTTTTAGATGTTTTCTGTGTTTGTGAATACAGGAGCTCCATCTGCGGTGAGTCTTTGAAAACTGATTATCCCATTCAGAGAAGATTAATTATTTGATTAATTCAGAAGCTTGCAGAAAGAGATTTATTTTTTTGTAACATTACAATAATGTCATAGCAACATGCCAACTTTTCCTACTGCCCTCTTGCACTTCCCCACCTGCCTTTCTCCATCCATCTCTTGTCTTACAATCCAAGATAACCCTTTTGGAGCAGAAGTAGCTTTTTGATGTTTTTAGGTGAATGCCTAGATCAAATCCTAGGTCCACAACAGGGTTTCCGAGACACTGTTTACCTGCATTTACAGCAGTAAGAGCCATTAAGCTGCCATAAATTGTGATGTGGCTGTGCATCAGATTGCCGAGAATAAACACATTTAAGGATCCAAAATACAGCTACTGCATCACCTGTGAAGTGAAGAGTGAATTCATTCACTGTTTTGCTCCCAACTCTGACTGGGCACAAATCACCAGCTACTATAGCTGAAGATGGAAACATTCATTTCCATCTTTCCCTTTAGAAATAGTAACACAGCAGCTGCTTACAAGGAATAGCATTTCAGCTTTTAACTAAAAGACTGCAGTTGTGCTCAGACTTTAATTAGGGGTACAAAGTGAGGTTTAATGCTTTCATCCAACTCTTGGATATTTATGCAAGGATAATTCAAATGCAGTCATTGCTGTTTGCCATACTGCTAATACTGAGCAAAGCACAGGTACTAGAAAATGCCAAAGAACAGGAGTAGGAATGCACAAGCAAACAAGTTTGAGTAATAAGTGGAACATTTCCAAGTAGAACATTTCCAAATATCCACTTGTAGGCTCCAGTTCCTTACCCTTGGTGTTGGCTGTAAACCATCAAAACCCCACCATTAACCAGACTGCTATCTATCTGCTCAGCACAACTACTGAATTAGCAGATTACATAAATACCCATCTATGAGAAGTTTAAGTGACTTCAGACTACACAGAAGTCCTGTACTTAGAGTTGATTCCATTTCTAAGGGAGCATGCAGCTGTCACATCCCTAAGACCACCTTTTCTTCATATAACTTGCCCTAACAAATACATACCTATCTATCCTTACAACAAGGCAAAAGTCTTGCTGACAGTGGCTTCACCTTATCGCATAGCTCTGATTTATCCTCTGGAACCTATTCAAACTGGGCAACAACAGAATGGGGTACAAGAGAAAGACCATGCAACCATCCCACTTTAAGCTGTGTGATACATATAAACAAGCAGAAAAATTAAGATAACAAGGAGCTAGCGTTACATATCTGTATGATCAAATTTTTCTAAGTTTCAGCATTCTTAAATACAGGCAGAAAATGGTAAATCATTTGTGAGAAGACTAAAAGAGTAAAATTGTATCATGTGCTTCATAATATTAGGAACTATAAAAATAACACTTAACCTATTACATACAACAAATAAGGGTTTTATGCAATGTGTATACTCTTCACGAGAAGAGTCCACCTTCATAGCTGGTGTGAGTCACAAGAATTTATTAGATTGTCAGAGAGTGTGGGGGCTCAAAAAGAAAAGTACTTGCAGCACTTGCAAAAACTTCTGACTTGTTCATCAGTGGTTGGTACTCCATCATGGTATGTTCGGTTCCTCTTTTCTACTCTTGACCGCTCTGCATTAAAATCTAGCTCACTTTAGTGAAGTGCCAGCACAGGCATCAGTAAAGAACATGAGGTGGGGAAAAGAGTGGGAGGGAGAGAGAATTTCCTCAGCTCTCAGTTCAGTTGTTCATTACCAGGGCAGTGGCCAGAAAGCAAGAGGAGACTTTCTGAAAGAGTCGTCACATATCCTGTAACCTCAGCCTGGATCACACCTCAGGTGGCAGGACTCTGAAGCACAACCACACTTTAGAGAATCTGTTCGTTAAATTTCCAGGCCAATATTACAGATGTGCAAGTGTTGAATTCTAGAATTTTATAATTGGAGTGAAATTGGATTGCTTCTCACAAAAGGGCAACACTGGTGCCAAAGCCTGTTCCCTTGCCCCTTTACATCTTTTCATCAAATGCCAAGTCAGTTCCATCTTAAATTGGAAGCTTTCCATAAAATTCAGCCAGAATAAGAAACTTCACATGGAAATTTTTTTTCTGAATGGTTAAAGTACAGGTAATATAACTGACAACAGGCTTCGGGAAAGTGTTAAACAGACTTGACAACAGGTATGTATCATTGCTAGCTTCATCTGCAATAAGAATATCTATATGCAATTACACCCCTTTCCTTTCTTCCTCTGTGCTTTGCTTGCCACCTACTTTGAAAACTGCAGATAAAAGTACAGTATCATATCCAGGTATTATTCAAGTTTCCAAAAGATAATGACAATTCTTATATCCTCCATAGACAAATGGAAGCAAATTCTGTGTATTAATGAAACATTTTGCAATTAATGATGTGCACATCACTAAGTTTATAAACATTATTATAAGCAGAATGACATTATAAGCGAGAGTATCACCTTCCAGAAAACACCTGTAAAAGTAAATTATGATTTAAGAACAATACTATAGTGAGAAGCATACTGTCTTCACCCATTTTGGCAGAGGTGGGAAGATGTGTAGTAAATGAAGCAGATAATTGCTTTCTAAAGAATCAAATCCTGTTTCATTCATGAAGTGTCTATGCTGTACCAGGCAAATATTTTATTCAAACTTTTTCCTAAGATGCTATGGAAAAAAATGAATATATCATTACATAATAAGGCTATATCATGAGACATTATTAATTACACTTGCACATAGAATCATAAATCTGCCATAAGTAATTTTTTTGTAATCCTAATTTTGAAAATGTTAGCATTCTAACTACTCAAGGTATTTAATGCAATAAATAAAACAATTTGTTTTAAAGCACATATATTCCAGGAATAGCATCATTTTGTAGGTCCACAGATCCATTTACCTTACAGTCTGGATAACATGTGTTAGCCACTGGCCAGAAAGTTCAGATTTCATCTCCCAGCCACCATACTGTCTTGATTCTCCTTCCCTGAGGCTGAATGGAAGCAAAGCTCCACGGATAAGTTTTACCAGAGAGTGCATCACTTCCTGAATCATTTTCTGCATCAGAAGAAAGGAAAGAAAAATCAAGCAAAAAGCTCTATCAACATGCTTAAGCAGCCATGTATTTGCTATACGCAACAGCTTGGAACGTATGATTTACAAGTGGCTCCACATGGTAGACAGTAGAGGAAAAGGAGGCATAAGGGCACACAGATGATTTAAGAAATCTGATTTTCAAGGTGGTGACACTGAAGGATCTTGCTATGAAGGACAGCTGAAAGAAAGCAAGCTTTTCCCCCCATAACTTACCTTGAAATCATTTTGTCTTTGCCTAGCGTTTTTCTTTGATCTTTCCATTTGGCCAGATTTTTCAGCAGTCTTGTGAAAATGAGAAAATTGAAAAGTGTAAGTATCTCATAACCACTGTTAAAATAATTCTGAAAAAGGGGGTTTCAAAGTGAAGAAGTGAAAACTGATGAGTTTATGATGCAATTATAAAAACTATCTCATGGCATCTCAATAAGCGAAGACTGTATCGATAAACTCTACTTACTGCAGATCAGTGTGCTAATGTTTAATTCTGAGGAACAATGTGCAGACAAAGTCAGAGACAAGCATAAAAGAACAGCTCAAGCAATACGAACTTCATCAGGTCAAAGTATTCTCATTGCAATGTTAGTGAGAGCTAAAACATATATAGTCTAATTGGGCATTGAGTTTATATGAAGAAACTATTTTCTCAGCATGGAAGCTGCCCAGAGAAGTACATCTATGTGAAGTGCGAGACACTTCTTGGAATGAGGGCGATTTGGAACTGTAACATGTGAAAGGGAGAGTTGAAGGTTTTTTTTGTTTGTTTTTTAGAAACAGTATTTTGTTGACAATGCTCTTTAAATAGTTCAACTAACTGTAAAGGAGACTGCAAAGTAATCAGCATCTTCTTGGACAGTTCACTTCTTTGAAACCTGAGGAACGTGAGTACACTTTGCATGAGACAGTTACAGTTGAAGAAAAACATGGTTTGACTAATAGTCTTCCTGTTTGTAGTTCTAGCCTTCTGTGGAGTCTACTGAGAACACAGTAAATTATACCAAAAAAAGTTATTTCAAATACTGGGTTAAGTGCAGATGTAGATTTTTGTAGTTAGAAAATCTCCTATTTTATGTATGTACAGCAACATCTACTGGACAAGGAGTGCAATAACATGAAAAGAGTTTTCTCAAAGAGAATCAGTTTACTTTCAAATCATTCATTTGAAATATTGTATTTTTCAAATTCCCTCTTTGGCTAAAGCATTTCAGATTTTTAAGGTAAGATAAATAATTTTAAATGAGCAAAAACTAGAGAAAAATAAAACTGCTTAACAGTTTTGGAAAATACATAGCTATGAAACTCTTGTACTTTAAAGCTCTGAATTACAGTTTCAGACAAGGAGAACAACACTTGAGATATTGCTGCATATAACACCCATTTCTTTCTTCTAATGCCTTAAAAAGAAAGTAAGCTATATTCCTTTAAACCTCAGGTATCAACTTAAAATTCACACTGTTTTACAGCGAGATTAAAAAACAACAAAAAAATTCACAGATCTTTGATATCTTTTTTTTTTTCTTCTTAGTGGTTTTGCTGAAGACCAATCTTAAACCTTTCCTGCACAGACAGACCAAAACTATCTTGTGGTAAGACCAACGGTTACTACTCATATATGCTACTTCACCTAGAGTGATTCAAAGAACTCAACTTTTTAGACTGTTGAAAATACCACGTAAATCTTTAACTGACAATATTTTAAGGCATAATAGCTAACCTTTCAGAACTACCCCTAAAAATCTACAAACTGAACAAGAGAAAATAAACATAGCTTGATATTCATGTAGGGATTTGCTTTCCACATTTTTGAAATGTCTTGAAGACTTGAATAAGCTAACTGAAATGATCCTCTATAGCACTTTCACAGGAATTCTTAAAAAACAACACAGCAATCACCTTGCTTCCTGAATGACAATAAATAGCAAGCAACATGGTAAAAAAAGTTTCTTCATAGACAATTAAAGTCTGTATGGTTTCTGATAGAAAAACATATAACCCTTGAGTCTTAAACGTGATGTGGTGACAGATAGGTGGTCTACACGAAGTCTTCTAGCTTATGCCACCCCCTCCTCCCACTCTTCCTCAGTTGACTATGGCATGCAGAACACACAAAAGGAACTGAGGGCACCACCCCTCCTCTCTCCCCAAGAACTTGAGGGTCTTCCATAAGGACCAAAGGAGCAGAAGAAATCAAATGTATGTGGATTAATTTCCTTACAAACTCAGAATCTGGCCCAACAGAAAAAAAGCAGATGTACCTTAGAGACTAACAGGAAAACTACCTCCTCCTCTTTTAAAAAACAAAAAAACCCCAAATGCAAAAACCAAAAAAAACCCAAAAAACATGGAAACAATGTTTTGCTCAGACATTACATAAGATCACTGCGTTTTCCACTTGCAGTCATTTTCATGAGCAGAACTTCTCAACCTTGTTTACAGTTCAAGTCTCTGTTCCTCTAGAAATTGCTTTCTTTTTCATTGTACTCGGAGGAAAAAAAAAAATCAGTTACAGGTGAATTTGTAAAGTCTAATTTCCAATGGTACTGTTGTCAAACATTAAGACTGTCAATTCCTTTATGAAATCAATTATTTTTGTGAAAGTCAAGAGTACTAAGGTTTATTCTTGATTTTACTTCCTTCACTGAATGTTATGAGTAAATGTCATATCTTTCTCTTGATTTTATCATGTAAAATGAGTAACACGAATATAATCTATTTCACTGGAGCTATAATGCTCTGTATATCATGTTCAACATATAAAGAGCTATAGTACCTATTATTATCATCGTATGAAAACGTTATATTGATTTACAGACAGTGGCAATAAATAGAATGACCACTTGAGAAATTAATTCTTCAGTTAGTCAGAGAAAAGGAAAATGACAAAATAAGCTTCCAAATTTCCTTTTCCCAAGGTTAATTTGTTTTATTTTCTACTAAAGCTGCAAAGAATAGTAGACAGCTATGGCTGTAGTTCTGCTTTAGGGATAATTTTGTAGTGGAATACTGTAGCTGTGATGACTTAAGGATTTAAGCACAGCAGGACACTGTAAACATAGCAGGATAAAACAAAAAAACAAACCAGTCTCAACAAATGAAATGATAAAACAACAGTTAAACAGAGAAGTTTTAGATGCACAAACTTTTAAGTTCAATATAGAAGCTGATCTGAATAATACACAGGTCCAAAGCTTGCTTATTTTCCACCTGCTCTGTATTATCCCAACTGTCTATACCTCTTTACAGACCTTGTCTTCAGAGTTTTTCAGGACTCAGAACAAGTGTGTCCAAGCTGCAGTCAGCAGGACTTCCCAGTGATAGCTATGCAGATGAGGTGTGAACTAGTGCCTTATCATCTGTTGATGGAACAGAGAGCTGCCTTTCACTACACTTCAACACGTGTTTGTCCTTGTCAGACTTGCCCCTTGGGAATAGGCCATCACTACAGTTGTCCTTCTGGAGAAGAAACAACATGGCTTGAGGACCAGAAGTGAACTCTCTATAAAAGACAATGTAATTCTGTGACCAAATTTTAGCAATAACACAAATTCAAACCCTATTGTATTTATCTGGTAACAATTATGATGGTAAGCTGTATATGATCCATATCATATTAATTATGATATGTATCCTGTCAAAATCTGTTAACAGTGTGCACATAAAAACAGCACGTCATAAATCATTACTTTTTTTTTCCTACTTCTTGGATGATCAACATTATATTTTATTCATGTAATTTGTAAAAAACAGATTATCTGAGCAAGAAGTACTAGAAGCACATGTGATTGCAGCTGACTGCATTTCCAGACTAGACACCCTATAGTGTATCTGTGTACACCACTCTGTGCCTTGGTCATTTTGCAACTTTGGTCTTGAACCTATCCTCACTTCCAAACAACGCTCAAGAAATGAGTGCTCTTGTTCCAAACAAAAGAATTTTTTTTTTTTCTGTATGACTGTCTGTTACGTATCTCTATCCTTCACGCAATTTGCTATTTCTTCAGATAACCAATGAAGGGCAGCTGCCCAGCTATGAGCAAGAGGTCAAACTACACAGATATTGACTCCAGCATCTGGAACACACAGAGACACACCACTAGCAGAATTCTAAGTAATTCCATTGTATGCTTTTATCCTTTTAAAAATAAAATGAAGAGTCTCACTTCTATAGGTTAGTATTGCAAGACAGGTTACGAGTCAAGGTAGCATCTGTCAAATGTGCAAGAGTCTACACATTGTTTTATAAACCTCTCTGATTAAAATAAGCCCAGTCACTTCTTCCAGTGAAATAGAATACTTCAAACCTAATTATTATGGAGCTTTGTTACTTAGAAGTCATTTATGTGGAAGAATCCATACCTCGCTGAATAAACTTCCATTCACATAAGAAATCCAGAGCTTCCAGAAGTTGGGCAGCTGACTTACAACAAGTTTTGTCAACTTTTCAACAAACACAACTTGCTGAGGAGCTTTGTATCGCCAAGCTAAAAGGGGGAGAGGGGGCGGAAAAAGGAAAATTAAAAACCTTTGAATTAATAATAAAAAATGTACTACTAGCTTGCTAACTGCTTCATATTACACAAGTGACTATATAGCGTGTATATAAAACCTTTCAGGTAGGAGTGGAAAAATTTAAAGCTCAGTCCATAGATGCGTGTAGAATTGGTACTCATGCAAGCTCCTTCTTCTTTTCTCATATGCTTATAAGGTGCCAGCACTATGACCGTATATAAAGAATAGGTCCCTTTGTAGGGGTATCTAATGCAATCTACCTAACAATCCATTTAGCCAATCTTCTGCCTTCAAACCACTCTAAAACATAAGCTAACATGAAAGCAATCAAGACATTAGAAGTTTCAAATGATGAGGTGGTGATGCTGAAGAAACAGGACTGCTAGGATATGCTAGTGATAGGAAGTAGAAGATCTGCTTTATTTAAAGCTAAAAAAAATTTCCATTGTGGCCTGGGGCAAGCTGCCAACCTCTCGTCTTCATTTCCATTTGTTTGGTAAAATCTTTTATCTGAAAAACAGGGGAGATTCCAACATTTTTGTTAAAACTCAATAAACACATCACTAAGTACATATTCAGATTCCTGGATGAAAAACACAATCATGACGTATAATACTGCGGCATCTCTCACTTCACAGACCTACTTACAGTCCTGGTGCACCAGCTATTAAACACATCAGAAAAATAGCTTATATTTTGGCAGCAGATAACTTTTCTCAGTTTGTTATCAAACGGGGCAAAGGGAGGTTGTGGGGGGGAGGTAAAGAGAAAGCTGAAAAAGGGGAGAAGAAAGGTGCCAATTAATACAGAAAAGAAAGGAAACTTTGTGAAATACTTCTCTATAACCATCTGCTTTCTCCATTAAAACTTTCTTGATTATGATGTTTTCACAAAACAGGGTATACAGACAATATAAGTCATGAGAGACTTACATTTCAACTCAAGAATTAGAGTCCACTTCAGAATGTGGGGAAAAAAGAAGTCACAGATTTTTGAGAAGGAACAACCAAAAGAAAACAAACCAAACAACAAGATTTAAAGAGGTCCATGTTGGATTTTTTTTTTTTGGTATGAACTCTGGTCTTTTATAAATGATAAAATTAAAAACATGATACCATCCTACATAACTCTGGAAATGCAGAAAAACGTTGGGTGAAATTGCATTTTTTGTCTTTAATCTGTTAGGGAATATCACCTACACAGAATGGGAATTCACCCATTAGGCAAAAATAACTGCCTAACAGCACATTAGGTAACAAGTACACTTCATCAGAGCCTCACTATTTCATTGTGTTGGTAACCAGCCCTGAACCTCCTTGAAGTACAGCATGTTTCAGCAGCATCCATTTGTTGAGGTGCTGGTCAACTATTAGTCCATTTCTTTAGTGGACAAATAAAGATCTGCACTACCCCAAATGTTCTTTTTCCTCATGGCCAAAAAGTTTAGGGACACTGGATTAGTATTTGAAAATAAAATAAAAAAAAAAATCACAATGGAAGCCCAAAATTTGGAGAGAGACTCTGACATAACTGAAGTGTAACTCTGCTGATAGTGATGTATCTGTTTAGGAGGCATGAAAACTTCATGAAAGTTCAACTAGCAAAGCTCATAGTGTGGACACAGATAGGATGTCAGAGCACTACATTTGCCAGCTTGGTTTATAACTGTCAAGAGCTGAATGTTACTTGAATGCTGCAGTTTTGAATTCAAAGTAATTTTTTCAAACAATCTCATGGACAATCATTGTCAATCACATTGGGGAAAAAAACCACACCAAAACACCAAAAACCCCAGAGATGCCATTCCTTACATTTGCTTAAAAAAAAAAAAAAAAAAAAAAAAAAAAGATGCACAAGCAACCTGAAAACAGAGCGCATCATGCCATATATGGAATAGCAGCTACTGCACAGGTATCATAAATGGTTAGTTTGCTTTGGCTCTCCACTCAGAGAAGAGCAAGGATGGTAGAGCTTTCAACTGTTCCCAAGCATGCAGTGGGCACGTGCACCTAGATACCAATGAACTCAACTCAGAGGCAACTCATTCTAACTCTAGGGTCTTTGCAGTGGATTGTGCTCCTAAGGTATTATGATGCTTCGATCCTCCAGTTTTCTTTTGAATCTTGGTTTAAACTACTGGCTACGGAACCTGCAAAGCTTGCTGAAGACTTACCTTTCCCAGTTTGCAAAAGGTTATGGATCCATAACTAAGACTCTAAAAACAAAGATAACCAACTGAATTCAAATTGCCTTCCGTAGATGCAACTATTTAAGCAGACACACATGCAAAAAATTCAGACAAGGAAAAAAAATAAACTGGATTTTGGATGTTGCTTCCTACATTAAGTGTGGCATGTATATTGGTGGATGGTATCCAACAATTTACTGGTTTGCTCTGTAACATTTGTTAATCAACCTCACTGCAAGGCTTTGGGCTGAGAAAGGACAAAGGTAATAGTAATAACAGCAATGTAATTACTTGGAATAGATGTATATTTTGAAGAGTCTATGTAATGTATATTTTCAAATACAAACATTCAACCTCAAACTGCGATGCAGTTTAGTTGTTTTTCATGTGAAGATACACCATGACAGCACAAGAATGTACAGTTCTTATTATTCGTCATTCTATGTTCTTGAAATATTCCCTTCATTCCTCTTCTTGCTCAAATAAAGTAGGTATTTACAGATGGTTTTTCAAGGAAGTCCACAGAATTGGGAGAAGAGCAATATCAAAGCAGACCAAAGCCAGAAAGTTCCTCATAAAAAACTGCTTTCTGCAAAAATGTACTTTGGTAAGAAGTGACCTGTCCTGTGAAAAACATGTTTTCTGTCTCCTGTGATGTCACCATTGAAAGACTGCTGAGATGAAGTTGTTTGGACATCGGTATTGAATACACTTATGACACACAAGGGCTCAGCTGGTTGTGGACACACTGCTCAAGCTTAGTCACACACGTTTGTTTCCCTTTCTGGGTTTACAGAATTAGAGAACAAGGACCGGATATGTGAAGTCACAGAAGGAGCAAGTACAAGGAGAGCCATCATAGCAAACACACACAAAAGGTGTAACAGCAGCAAAAGGTGGTAGGCAGTAGATGGGTACGTATGCCAAAAAAAAAAGTATTCTGGTTTTGTAGGAAAAAGGCTCTTATTACCTTGACTACATTTTAAGAAGCAGATTTCTATTATGAACTGCTCTTTGCTTGCAAAAAACACAGAGGTCCCCTTTAGTAAGCAATGGTAATGCATGAGAAGAAAGAATTTTATTTGGTAGCAACCCAAAACAAACACACAGAATGTGGGTTTCTGTTTGGGTTTTTTGGCTACACCACACACTGGACACAGGGAACTGGAGCTTTGTTTTTCCAAATAAAACAGATGCATACCATCATCACGGCCAGACTGAAAGCTGCTGCCCCTTTTCAATGAAGCAGTTTGACCAAGATGGCCAACTGGTGATGGACGCACATCACTGTCCAGGTCTAACATAGGACTGTGGAGCAATGAGCTGCCTAGGGAGAGGGGGGAAAAAAAAAGTTACAATGATTTTGCACATCATTTGACATGAAACTGCATGCTGCATGTGGAATTCTAATTTAATTCGGAAGTGATACAAGACAAAAGTTATCTAGCAAAAACATTCTTAATCTTGCTTATTTAGACCGTCTGTTTATCTACATCAAGGCTATTCAATAACACCAATATAGACTCCAATAGCAAAGCCAAAACCACAAGTACCACGTGAGAAATGTCATTCTTTGGTCTGTATGTTTCTCTGTTCCTACTTTAATTAATGCCCTACAATTAGTTCCTTGAAAGCCATGGATAAATATGCATTTATACCATTAGTGACATGGCACACCCTTTTTTTCTGGTGTATGTCTAAATACACTTTTCAACAACAATAGTTTCTTGTGCCTCCAGCTGTAGCAGTTAAGGGCAGAGTGTTCAACTGCTTCTTAGCTGTTAGACCTGTGCAGAGTTCAGGTAGAAAGAAGCCATCCATCATGAAGCAGATGAACTAACAGCATTGTATGCTTGTGCATGTCTGTAAAACACCCCACACTTGTACATATCCACAAACACACAAAATATTTCCCAGTGAACCAGCTACTGTTATCAATTATTTTTTTCTTTGGGTGCCTGTACATATGTAGGCCACTATTAGCAAGCAAGTCCTAAGCAACAATCTGATCTGATGGAGGTGGACACTTGGAGTCTAATGTATACTTTGGAAAACAACCATATCATAATGAGTAGACCGTGACGATTTTTTAATGTACTCTAACATTGCTAATGTTTCTCTGAAAGTCGAAATTGCTGCTTTATACATTTCACCATTGTATTGGGTTTACGCGCCAAGGTTTTGGGAGCAGGGGGGCTACAGGGGTGGCTTCTGTGAGACGCTGCGCTTCCCCTATGTCCGAAAGAGCCAATCCCAGCCAGCTCCAAGACAGCCCCACCACTGGCCAAGGCCAGAACAATCAGCAACTGTGGCAGCACCTCTGGGATAACATATTTAAAGGGAAAAAAAACCCCACCCTACACAGCTGCAGCCAGAGACAGGAATGAGAATATGTGAGAGGAACGACTCTGCAGACACCAAGGCCAGTGCAGAAGGAGGGGGAGGAGGTGCTCCAGGTGCCAGGGCAGAGATTCCCCTGCAGCCCCTGGTGAAGACCATGGTGAGGCAGGCTGTGCCCCTGCAGGACATGGAGGTCTATGGTTGAGCATATATCCTCCTGCAGCCTGGGGAGGACACCACACCGGAGCAGGTGGATGTGCCCAAAGGAGGCTGTGACCCTGTGGGAAGCCCACGCTGGAGCAGGCTCCTGGCAGGACCTGTGGACCCATGGGGAGAGAGGAGCCCACGCTGGAGCAGGTTTACTGGCCAGGACTTGTGGACCTGTGGGGAACCGATGCTGGAGCATTCTGCTCCTGAAGGACTGCACCCCGTGGAAGGGACACATGCTGGAGCAGTTCATGAAGAACTGTAGCCCATGGGAAGGACTCACATTGGAGAAATTCATGGAGGACTGTCTCCTGAG